CGGACTGTAACCTCTTAACATGATTGAAGTTCTTTGTTGGAAGAAGAAGAGAAGTCTTCTTTAAAAAACGTTTTCAAAGCAAGAACTGAAAAACTTCACAACTTCTTGAAACTGTCACTTCCACAGTCGCTTCATTTTCTCATAAAATCACAGTACTGTATTCACTAACACATGTTCTTTCAGAGAACAACATTAATAACAATATCCACACACCAAAATCCAGTCTATCAGTGAAATATACTCAGTCATTATAAAGACAGCTCATTCAAGCGAAGAAAAACTTTCAGTTCTGTTTGTTGAAACCAAATCATTTTGAGCCAACTGCTCCATATATATATATATATATATATATATATATATACACATTATTAGTGTGGCAATTATGACAAAAAATATCATAATTTAACAAGTCATGCAAATGAGTCTGTTTGTATGAAAATAAAAATAAATTGCACCTAAAAGTCAGTCACAATTCCCATTTTGCAGTCAAAAAACTTACATTTAAAATTGAGGATATGAAAACATCTATATATTTTTTCTTCTAGTTTAAGTATTTAACATAACTAACTTCCCTATCTTACCACTATAAAGTGGTCATTGGGAGCAATGAAGTGAAATTAACGTATGTCTCCCTCTCCAAGTGCCAACTCTCAGTCACCTTTCTGTGTGTTTGTATGTATATTTATACTAATACACATAATGCTAGTGCTTGTACTACTTAAGATAAGTTCTGAAAGAGTTCTGTACTACAATTTACATGTAGGGAACTTCACGAGTGTTGATTTACATCAACAGTAGTTGGTTGGAGAGGACTTACTTTCTGTACTCTTACATCTGACTGAACTAGCAGACAGAGTAAACTGAATTGGGTTTCTGAGGAAAAAAACAGTTGACAATATTCAAAGCCGGTGTGTGTTAGAGGTCTGAGCATTACTGATACATTCTTACATAATTTTAATTACATATTTTGATACTCCAACACAGCACATCTCAACAGAATTTCTGAAAAAGTATTCTGAATATCCCAGTGTTATTAATTTTATAGAATTAAAAATTCTACAGTGCTGCTGCTTAGAAATAATATAACAATTTATGATCACATCATTCATAATAAATCAAACATGAAGATTATTTCAATATCCTTCAGAAGATAGTAGACCAATTTCAACTGCAATGACACATTAAAGGCACAGACATTTTATGGCTGAAGATTCGCTGAACCAGAGCTATTTTTCTGGCAGAACACACCAGTACATTGCACCTCTTTACATATAAAATACAATAAAAAGTCTGTTACTAAAGCACGACAGAATAATGAAGTGAAGCTTTTGCAGCGACTGAAGTTGATGAAAGACTCTTGGGCTACAAGTCATGTCAGGTGGCTGAACGGTTTTGTTCACTGTTCAGCCACCTGATGCGGCTTGTAGCCCGAGAATATTTCATCAATGAACTTCATAATTAAAATTAAACATTTTCCATTATCTTAATGGCTTATTCTTTTGTCAAAAATTTAGAAATATGTCTCTCTCTTGTATGTCACATCTGCATCTTTCTTTGCAATTCTTACACAGTTGAAAATGTAATCTATTTACTGAATAATGTAAAAAGAGAAAAGCACTTATCAGATCAAGGAATAACAGTGAATCGAACAACAGTTAATTCTGTAATAAGTTATGGTGTTGAACAGACAGAGAAATACACTGCCGAGATGGGAGTGGAGTATCAGTAGGATGGGATTGTTTTCTTTTGATGACAGAGAAATCAAGAAGGAAATAAGCAACAGAACAAATATACATCTAATACGAATACTACCATAGTGAGGCCTGATATTACTCAGTCACAGAGGTAGGGAAGAGGCATGCACACTGAAAAATTCATCATGAATGGTATGCCAGCATCCTGTTTCTCAGCCACAACATTCCCACTATTGTGAAAGTAATACTTGAACATTACAGGATTTAAAACTGTTGACACTCAAAGTAATTAGTTAAAATACACGAGACAAAACATACTTCCTACACTGGTAATAAAATATGTAAATTGTATCACATGTTCTCTTACTGAAAATATGACATCAAATGGATGTTATTTTTAAGAAATAACTTTGTTATGATGTTCCTCAATAACGACAAACAGTTGTCTTTCAATTCACATTACTCTGAATTAATTTGAATAAACTGTGAATGATGGATGAATGAATGCTGCCCCACTCTGTATATATTTCAAATTTTGGAACAATTCTTCCAATCAATATCATCAGAATTCAGGGGCATTCATATATATGTTAAGTTTTCATTTATTTAATTACTACTCCATAGTAAAATGTTTATGTGATAATGCACCTACACAAGGAAACTGACATTAACTCTATATCAGCGCTATATTTCTGGGGGATTCAAAGTAAACCTAAAAATTACAAAAACTCAAATGATAATTTTAAAACTGCTGTTAGTGGAATACATTTATATGAATGAATAAAATACTCTCTAGTCACAACTCAAACTTGGGGCACTGAATTTGTATGGTGCGATGTTATGTATCCCCAGTTCTATTGTACGGAATGGAGGCTTGGACCGTTTCTGAGGCGATGCTTAAACATCTTGAGGCATTCAAGATGTGGGTATATCAGCATTTACTCAGAATTAGCTGGACTGATAGAATAAGAAACGAACAAGTACTTATGAAAATTAATGAAAGAACAGAAATCGTCAAAACCATCAAATGACAGAAGTTGGAGTGTTTGGGTCATATTATGCGACATCCAGAAAAATACAAAATTCTACATCTTATTATGCAAGGAAAAATCGATGGCAAACAAATCCCCAGGAGAAGAAGCTGAAGAATTTGAGGCAATGATTTGGACAGTCCACAGTACAACTTTTCCGTGCAGCCATAAATAAAATCATAATCACCAACATGGTAGCCGACATGATTACCAACGATCGATAACGGTCAAGGCACCAGAAGAAGAAGAAAAAATGGAAATTTTGAAACTGCTGTTAGTGGAATATAAAATTTATGTTATCAAGAAATGCTGGCCAAAGTACAGAAGTTAAAGAAATAAGAAGACAATGACAATGCCAGTTATCTTTATGGAAACTGTACTGACATATCACTTGCTTCACTTTGGTACTATCTAAAAATATGTAATTTTCAATTAGGATGGATTTAAAAAAAAGAAACTGTATTATTATTGTTGTTGTTATTATTGTTAATAATAATTTAATATCTGTCAAACCCATTAGAACTAAATAACCTCAAGTTCTTGGTCATTACATCCAAGCAAAAACAATGCCCTGTATGCAGGAACTCATATTTATCTGGTCTCTTTGTTTGTTTCTGAAATTCTTAGTTTCAAACCTTTGGCTTTTATAAATAATGTTTTCTATTAAGATGATTATGAGATTAAAACACTTGGAGTCTGAATTAAGGTATTACCTCAAAATCTGCCTGCAGAGACTGTAGAAAATAAGACAAAAATGTCATCGTGATGATCCCAGAAATCAATCTGGGAATTTTCTACATATTTTTATTTCAGTAAATCCTGTCTATTATCTGGCTGAAACATGGATTTTTCAGACTTTAAAGTACGTCATTTACTGTACTGTGTATATAGACATACTGTTCACAGAGAACAGCTTTGCAACAACAGTAATTTATAAGAATTGGTATAAATTAAACAAAAGGGGGAAGGAAAAAATATATTACAAGACAACACCTACCAGGCTGTCTGTATTACACTGATAATCTTTTCCACTTGACAAAGGCCATTAATTGCTTTTAATTAAATGCAGTGTCATGTTCAGTAAAATATGAATCTTTATAACATGAATATCAAATTTATAAATTAAAAGATTAAAAATCAAGGTATCATTATTGTAACCACTTGTGTATTTTAATATTAATGTCTTTAAATGTGTTAGGTCAGAAAAATTATTCATCTACTACTTTTAGAATACAATAAAGAAAAAATATTATTGTTATAGACACAATTGTATCTTGTCACTATGTACAGCAGCTTTAATATCTATCATACCAGAATGACAGAACATCAATATTTTTTCATCAATGTTCCTTTGTAAAACTGAACAACTGTTTTCATCCTCTCTGACACTGACTACCATCACATAAATGATACACAGTTTTAACAACAATATTCAGGTTGCAAACTGCTTATGTAACAATCTCCTGTTAAAAGGAAGTCAGGTGATCTACATAAATACACCCACTTCATAATTATGGATTTACAATTTGCTAGAAACCCTTTTGCAGACTAAGCTAAGTGGAAGTAAAATTCTCTGTTCACGATAATAGACTGCATTACTGTGACTATAATGAGATGTCTTGTGATGTAGAGCTCTAGAAATGAGCTGAAATATGGGACAAGGCCCAAACTACTTAGTCCATATCCTTGAGAGGCACCCTTTCTCAAACCTAGAATTCTGAATAGAACTCTGAAGTCAGGTTGTGTGTTGACTAGTGTCATCTCTTCTTCCTCAATGTGGGCT